AATCCCAAACAACGACTGCAGAACCAACAACTGAATCCCCAACAACTTCAGAACTAACAACAACTGACTCTCCAACAACTGTATTGCCAACAACTGCAGAACTAACAACAGGTGAATCTCCAACAACTGAATCCCCGACAACAGCAGAACCAACAGCAACTGAATCCACAACAACAACTGATTCCCCGACATCAGAGCAAACAACAACTGAATCCCCGACAACTGCAGAACCAACAAGTGAATCACCAACAACAACTGAATCCCCGACTACAGAGCAAACAACAACTGAAATCCTAACAACTTCAGAAGCAACAACTGTATCCTCAACAACTACAGAAGCCATCAGTGAATCCTCAACAACTATGGACGCAACAACTGAATCACCGACAGCTTCAGAAACAACTGCATCCCTAACAACAACTGCAGATCTACCAACAACTGAATCACCGACAACAACTGAATCCCTGACTACAGAGCAAACAACAACTGAAATCCTAACAACGTCAGAAGCAACAACTGAATCCCCAACAACTTCAGAACCAACAACAAGTGAATCCCAAACAACGTCTGCAGAACCAACAAGTGAATCACCAACAACAACTGCAGAACCAACAACGACTGCAGAACAAACAACTGAATCCCTAACAACTTCGGAAGCAACAACAGGTGAATCCCCAACAACTTCAGAAGCCATCAGTGAATCCTCAACAACTGTGGAAGCAACAACTGAATCACCGACAACTGCAGAAACAACTGCATCCCTAACAACAACTGCAGAACTACCAACAACTGAATCACCGACAACAACTGAATCCCCGACTACAGAGCAAACAACAACTGAAATCCTAACAACGTCAGAAGCAACAACTGAATCCCCAACAACTTCAGAACCAACAGCAACTGAATCCCCGACAACTGCAGAACCAACAAGTGAATCACCAACAACAACTGCAGAACCAACAACGACCGCAGAACAAACAACTGAATCCCCAACAACTGCGGAAGCAACAACAGGTGAATACCCAACAACTTCAGAAGCCATCAGTGAATCCTCAACAACTGTGGAAGCTACAACTGAATCACCGACAACTGCAGAAATAACTGCATCCCTAACAACAACTGCAGAACCAACAACAACCCCAGAATCAACAACGACTGCAGAAGCAACAACTGAATCCTCAACTGTGGAAACAACTGAATCCACAACTGCAGAACCAAAAACAACTGAATCCTCAACAACTGTGGAAACAACTGAATCCACAACTGCAGAACCAACAACTGAATCCCCGACAACTGCAGAAACAACTGCATCCCCAACAACAACTGAATCCCCGACTACAGAGCAAACAACAACTGAATCCCCCACAACTTCAGAAGCAACAACTGAATCCTCAGCAACTGTGGAAACAACTGAATCCACAACTGCAGAACAAACAGAAACTGATTCGCCGACAACTGCAGAAAAAACTGCATCCCTAACAACAACGGCAGAACCAACAACAAGTGAATCCCCAACAACAATTGAATCCCCAACAACAGAGCAAGCAACTGAAATCCTAACAACTTCGGAAGCAACAACTGAATTCCCAACAACTTCAAAACCAACAACAAGTGAATCCCAAACAACAAATGAAGAACCAACAACTGAATCCCCAACAACAACTGAATCCCCTACTACAGAGCAAACAAGAACGGAATCCCAAACAGCTTCAGAAGCAACAACAGGTGAATCCCCAACAACTTCAGAAGCCATCAGTGAATCCTCAACAACTGTGGAAGCAACAACTGAATCACCGACAACTGCAGAAACAACTGCATCCCTAACAACAACTGCAGAACCAACAACAACCCCAGAACCAACAACGACTGCAGAACCAACAACTGAATCCCCAACAACTTTAGAAGCAACAACTGAATCCTCAACTGTGGAAACAACTGAATCCACAACTGCAGAACCAACAACAACTGAATCCCGGACAACTGTAAAAACAACTGAATCCACAACTGCAGAACCAACAACAACTGAATCCTCAACAACTGTGGAAACAACTGAATCCACAACTGCAGAACCAACAACAATTGATTCCCCGACAACTGCAGAAACAACTGCATTCTCAACAACAACTGAATCCCCGACTACAGAGCAAACAACTGAATCCCCAACAACTTTAGAAGCAACAACTGAATCCTCAACAACTGTGGAAACAACTGAATCCACAACTGCAGAACCAACAACAACTGATTCCCCGACAACTGCAGAAACAACTGCATCCCTAACAACAACGGCAGAACCAACAACAACTGAATCCCCAACAACAACGGAATCCCCGACTACAGAGCAAACAACAACTGAATTCCTAACAACTTCAGAACCAACAACAAGTGAATCCCAAACAACGACTGCAGAACCAACAACTGAATCCCCAACAACTTCAGAACTAACAACAACTGACTTTCCAACAACTGTATTGCCAACAACTGCAGAACTAACAACAGGTGAATCTCCAACAACTGAATCCCCGACAACAGCAGAACCAACAACAACTGAATCCACAACAACAACTGATTCCCCGCATTCAGAGCAAACAACAACTGAATCCCCGACAACTGCAGAACCAACAAGTGAATCACCAACAACAACTGAATCCCCGACTACAGAACAAACAACAACTGAAATCCTAACAACGTCAGAAGCAACAACTGAATCCTCAACAACTACAGAAGCCATCAGTGAATCCTCAACAACTGTGGAAGCAACAACTGAATCACCGACAACTGCAGAAACAACTGCATCCCTAACAACAACTGCAGAACTACGAACAACTGAATCACCGACAACAACTGAATCCCCGACTACAGAGCAAACAACAACTGAAATCCTAACAACGTCAGAAGCAACAACTGAATCCCCAACAACTTCAGAACCAACAGCAACTGAATCCCCGACAACTGCAGAACCAACAAGTGAATCACCAACAACAACTGCAGAACCAACAACGACTGCAGAACAAACAACTGAATCCCTAACAACTTCGGAAGCAACAACAGGTGAATCCCCAACAACTTCAGAAGCCATCAATGAATCCTCAACAACTGTGGAAGCAACAACTGAATCACCGACAACTGCAGAAACAACTGCATCCCTAACAACAACTGCAGAACCAACAACAACCCCAGAATCAACAACGACTGCAGAACCAACAACTGAATCCCCAACAACTTCAGAAGCAACAACTGAATCCTCAACAACTGTGGAAACAACAGAATCCACAACTGCAGAACCAACAACAACTGAATCCCCGACAACTGCAGAAACAACTGCATCCCCAACAACAACTGAATCACCGACTACAGAGCAAACAACTGAATCCCCAACAACTTTAGAAGCAACAACTGAATCCTCAACAACTGTGGAAACAACTGAATCCACAATTGCAAAACCAACAACAACTGATTCCCCGACAACTGCAGAAACAACTGCATCCCTAACAACAACGGCAGAATCAACAACAACTGAATCCCTGAAGACAAAACAAACAACAACTGAATCACCGACAACTGCAGAAACAACTGCATCCCTAACAACAACTGCAGAACTAACAACAACTGAATCACCGACAACAACTGAATCCCCGACTACAGAGCAAACAACAACGGAAATCCTAACAACAACAAAAGCAACAACTGAATCCCCAACAACTTCAGAACCAACAACAAGTGAATCCCAAACAACAACTGCAGAACCAACAACGACTGCAGAACAAACAACTGAATCCCTAACAACTTCGGAAGCAACAACAGGTGAATCCCCATCAACTTCAGAAGCCATCAGTGAATCCTCAACAACTGTGGAAGCAACAACTGAATCACCGACAACTGCAGAAACAACTGCATCCCTAACAACAACTGCAGAACCAACAACAACCTCAGAATCAACAACGACTGCACAACCAACAACTGAATCCCCAACAACTTCAGAAGCAACAACTGAATCCTCAACAACTGTGGAAACAACTGAATCCACAACTGCAGAACCAACAACAACTGAATCCCCGACAACTGCACAAACAACTGCATCCCCAACAACAACTGAATCCCCGACTACAGAGCAAACAACTGAATCCCCAACAACTTTAGAAGCAACAACTGAGTCCTCAACAACAGTGGAAACAACTGAATCCACAATTGCAGAACCAACAACAACTGATTCTCCGACAACTGCAGAAACAACTGCATCCCTAACAACAACGGCAGAATCAACAACAACTGAATCCCCGACTACAGAGCAAACAACAACTGAAATCCTAACAACTTCAGAACCAACAACAAGTGAATCCCAAACAATGACTGCAGAACCAACAACTGAATCCCCAACAACTTCAGAACTAACAACAGGTGAATCTCCAACAACTGAATCCCCGACAACAACAGAACCAACAACACCTGAATCCATAACACCAACTGATTCCCCGCCTACAGAGCAAACAACAACTGAATCCCCGACAACTGCAGAACCAACAAGTGAATCACCAACAACAACTGAATCCCCGACTACAGAGCAAACAACACCTGAAATCCGAACAACTTCGGAAGCAACAATTGAATCCCCAACAACTTCAGAACCAACAACAAGTGAATCCCAAACAACGACTGCAGAACCAACAAGTGAATCACTAACAACAACCACAGAACCAACAACGACTGCAGAACAAACAACTGAATCCCCAACAACTTCAGAAGCAACAACAGGTGAATCCCCAACAACTTCAGAAGCCATCAGTGAATCCTCAACAACTGTGAAAGCAACAACTGAATCACCGACAACTGCAGAAACAACTGCATCCCTAACAACAATTGCGGAACCAACAACAACCCCGGAACCAACAACGACTGCAGAACCAACAACTGAATCCCCAACAACTTCAGAAGCAACAACTGAATCCTCAACAACTGTGGAAACAACTGAATCCACAACTGCAGAACCAACAACAACTGAATCCATGCCAACTGCAGAAACAACTGCATCCCCAACAACAACTGAATCCCCCACTACAGAGCAAACAACTGAAACCTCAACAACTTTAGAAGCAACAACTGAATCCTCAACAACTGTGGAAACAACTGAATCCACAACTGCACAACCAACAAGAACTGAATCCCCGACATCTGCAGAAACAACTGCATCTCTAACAACAACGGCAGAATCAACAACAGCTGAATCCCCGACTACAGAGCAAACAACAACTGAAATCATAACAACTTCAGAAGCAACAACTGAATACCCAACAACTTCAGAACCAACAACAAGTGCATCCCAAACAACGACTGCAGAACCAACAAGTGAATCACCAACAACAACTGCAGAACCAACAACGACTGCAGAACAAACAATTGAATTATTTACAACTACAGAACTAACAACAAATGATTCCCCAACAACTGCAGAGCCAAAAACTGAATCATCAACAACTGTAGAATCAACAACTGAATCCCTGATAACTGCAGAACCAACAACAACTGAATCCCCAACAACAACTGAATCATCAACAACTATGGAAGCAACAACTGAATCCCTGATAACGACTTCAGAACCAACAACAACTGAATCCCCAACAACAACTGCCGAACCAATAATAAGTGAATTCACAACAACAATGGCAGAAGCAATAACTGAATCCGTGACGACTACAGAACCAGAACCACCCACTGAATCTCCAACAACTACAGAACCAATAACAACTGAATTACCAACAACTGGAGAACCAACAACAAGTGAATCTGCTGAAAGCACAACTTCAGGTCGATTACCAACAATAGCTGAAACCACGAGTGCTGCACTTGTAACTGTGATACCCACTGTAACTTCACAAGCTACTCAAAATTCTGGATCAACAACTACATCTCAAGCTGGATCCACACAACAAACCACCACTGCAGCATTCACTGCTTCTACAAATGCAGCAACTACAGGCCCAACCATGGCTTCAACTCAAAGTACAGTTACTTCACCTGCAACAGGAGCAACAACATCAGCAGCAATGAGGACAACAGAAACTGCAACAACTCTATCAGCAACCACAGCCGTAACACCATTATCCGGTGCAACATTTGGTCCCACCTCAACTGCAGGTTCGACAACCGAAAAACAAACAAAAGCTACAACCTCTTCTGTGTCAACAGGATCACCACCAACTGTAACGACAACTTCATCTGTACTCGTATCTTCTACTCTAGCTACCGCATCAACAGCAATTATAGCAACAACAACTGCTTCATCTAACCCATCTGCTCCAAGCACAACTTCAGGGCCTTTACCAACAATCGCTGAAACCACGAGTGTTGCATTCGTAACTGTTTCTCCCACAAATTCTGCATCAACAACTGAAGCATCTACAAATTCAGAACCACCAAATTCAGCATCTACCACAACAGTTCCAAATGCGTCGATGCTTCCCACTACATCTGCAGTTCTTGGCACAGCAACATCACCAATTACAACTTCTGTATCAGCAACAGGTGTTGTACCAACTGCAACTTTAACAAGGACAACCACAGCACCGTCGTCTTCTTCCCTATCAGGTACTGCTTCATCAACAACTGCAGCAGTAACTGCTACAACAGCTTCAGGCACATCTAAAACTACAGCACCACCTGCTACTTCCCTGACAACTGGGACTCTATCACCTACAGAATCAACTACGTCACGAAGCCCTACTTTATCTCCAACTACCACTGCAGCGAAAATCTACACGACAACTGCCACTGGAGCAACAACAGCATCTCAGATAACACCTCTAGAAATAACATCAAGCACAGTTCCAGTTACAACTACTTCTCACACAACAGCTGCATCTCCAGCAACGACTACATCTCAAACTGGAAATACACCACAAACCACCACTGCAGCATTCACGGCTTCTACAACTGCAGCAACTAGAGGCCCAACCATGGCCTCAGCTCAAAGTACAGTTACTTCACCTGCAACAGGAGCAACAACATCAGCAGCAATGAGGACAACAGAAACTGCAACAACTCTATCAGCAACCACAGCTTTAACACCATTATCCGTTGCAACATTTGGTCCCACCTCAACTGCAGGTTCGACAACCGAAAAACAAACAAGAGTTTCGACCTCTTTCGTGTCAACAGGAACACCACCAACCGTAACGACAACTTCATCTGTACTCGTATCTTCTACTCTAGCTACCGCATCAACAGCATTCATAGCAACAACAACTGCTTCATCTAACCCATCTGCTCCAAGCACAACTTCGGGTCATTTACCAACAGTACCTGAAACCACGAGTGCTGCACTCGTCACTGTTACTCCCACAAATTCTGCATCAACAACTGAAGCATTTACAAATTCAGAACCACCAAATTCAGCATCTACCACAACAGTTCCAAATGCGTCGATGCTTCCCACTACATCTGCAGTTCCTGGCACAGCAACATCACCAACTACAACTTCTGTATCAGCAACAGGTGTTGTACCAACTGCAACTTTAACAAGGACAACAACAGCACCGTCGTCTTCTTCCCTATCAGGTACTGCTCCATCAACAACTGCAGCAGTAACTGCTACAACAGCTTCAGGAACATCTAAAACTACAGCACCACCTGCTACTTCCCTGACAACTGGGGCTCTATCACCTACAGAATCAACCACGTCACGAAGCCCTACTTTATCTCCAGCTACCACTGCAGCGAAAATCTTTACGACAACTGCCACTGGAGCAACAACAGCATCTCAGATAACACCTCTAGAAATAACATCAAGCACAGTTCCAGTTACAACTACTTCTCACACAACAGCTGCTTCTCCAGCAACGACTACATCTCAAACTGGAAATACACCACAAACCACCACTGCAGCATTCACGGCTTCTACAACTGCAGCAACTACAGGCCCAACCATGGCCTCAACTCAAAGTACAGTTACTTCACCTGCAACAGAAGCAACAACATCAGCAGCAATGAGGACAACAGAAACTGCAACAACTCTATCAGCAACCACAGCTTTAACACCATTATCCGTTGCAACATTTGGTCCCACCTCAACTGCAGGTTCGACAACCGAAAAACAAACAAGAGTTTCGACCTCTTCTGTTTCAACAGGAACACCACCAACTGTAACGACAACTTCATCTGTACTCGAATCTTCTACTCTAGCTACCGCATCAACAGCATTCATAGCAACAACAACTGCTTCATCTAACCCATCTGCTCCAAGCACAACTTCGGGTCATTTACCAACAGTACCTGAAACCACGAGTGCTGCATTCGTAACTGTTACTCCCACAAATTCTGCATCAACAACTGAAGCATTTACAAATTCAGAACCACCAAATTCAGCATCTACCACAACAGTTCCAAATGCGTCGATGCTTCCCACTACATCTGCAGTTCCTGGCACAGCAACATCACCAACTACAACTTCTGTATCAGCAACAGGTGTTGTACCAACTGCAACTTTAACAAGGACAACAACAGCACCGTCGTCTTCTTCCCTATCAGGTACTGCTCCATCAACAACTGCAGCAGTAACTGCTACAACAGCTTCAGGAACATCTAAAACTACAGCACCACCTGCTACTTCCCTGACAACTGGGGCTCTATCACTTACAGAATCAACCACGTCACGAAGCCCTACTTTATCTCCAGCTACCACTGCAGCGAAAATCTTTACGACAACTGCCACTGGAGCAACAACAGCATCTCAGATAACACCTCTAGAAATAACATCAAGCACAGTTCCAGTTACAACTACTTCTCACACAACAGCTGCTTCTCCAGCAACGACTACATCTCAAACTGGAAATACACCACAAACCACCACTGCAGCATTCACGGCTTCTACAACTGCAGCAACTACAGGCCCAACCATGGCCTCAACTCAAAGTACAGTTACTTCACCTGCAACAGAAGCAACAACATCAGCAGCAATGAGGACAACAGAAACTGCAACAACTCTATCAGCAACCACAGCCGTAACACCATTATCCGGTGCAACATTTGGTCCCACCTCAACTGCAGGTTCGACAACCGAAAAACAAACAAAAGCTACGACCTCTTCTGTTTCAACAGGAACACCACCAACTGTAACGACAACTTCATCTGTACTCGAATCTTCTACTCTAGCTACCGCATCAACAGCATTCATAGCAACAACAACCGCTTCATCTAACCCATCTGCTCCAAGCACAACTTCAGGTCCTTTACCAACAATTGCTGAAACCACGAGTGCTGCATTCGTAACTGTTACTCCCACAAATTCTGAATCAACAACTGAAGCATTTACAAATTCAGAACCACCAAATTCAGCATCTACCACAACAGTTCCAAATGCATCGGTGCTGCATACTACATCGGCAGTTCCTGGCACAGCAACGTCACCAACTACAACTTCTGTATCAGGAACGGGTGTTATATCAACTGCAACTTTAACAAGGACAACCACAGCACCGTCGTCTTCTCTCCTATCAGATATTGCTCCATCAAAAACTGCAGCAGTAACTGCTACACCAGCTTCAGGCACATCTAAAACTACAGCACCACCTGCTACTTCCCTGACAACTGGGGCTCTATCACCTACAGAATCAACCACGTCACGAAGCGTAACTTTATCTCCAGCTACCACTGCAGCGAAAATCTTTACGACAACTGCCACTGGAGCAACAACATCATCTCAGATAACACCTCTAGAAATAACATCAAGCACAGTTCCAGTTACAACTACTTCTCACACAACAGCTGCTTCTCCAGCAACGACTACATCTCAAACTGGAAATACACCACAAACCACCACTGCAGCATTCACGGCTTCTACAACTGCAGCAACTACAGGCCCAACCATGGCCTCAACTCAAAGTACAGTTACTTCACCTGCAACAGAAGCAACAACATCAGCAGCAATGAGGACAACAGAAACTGCAACAACTCTATCAGCAACCACAGCCGTAACACCATTATCCGGTGCAACATTTGGTCCCACCTCAACTGCAGGTTCGACAACCGAAAAACAAACAAAAGCTACGACCTCTTCTGTTTCAACAGGAACACCACCAACTGTAACGACAACTTCATCTGTACTCGTATCTTCTACTCTAGCTACCGCATCAACAGCATTCATAGCAACAACAACTGCTTCATCTAACCAATCTGCTCCAAGCACAACTTCAGGTCCTTTACCAACAATAGCTGAAACCACGAGTGCTGCATTCGTAACTGTTACTCCCACAAATTCTGAATCAACAACTGAAGTATTTACAAATTCAGAACCACCAAATTCAGCATCTACCACAACAGTTCCAAATAGATCGGTGCTGCCTACTACATCGGCAGTTCCTGGCACAGCAACATCACCAACTACAACTTCTGTATCAGGAACGGGTGTTATATCAACTGCAGCTTTAACAAGGACAACCACAGCACCGTCGTCTTCTCTCCTATCAGGTACTGCTTCATCAACAACTGCAGCAGTAACTGCTACAACAGCTTCAGGCACATCTAAAACTACAGCACCACCTGCTACTTCCCTGACAACTGGAGCTCTATCACCTACAGAATCAACGACGTCACGAAGCCCTACTTTATCTCCAGCTACCACAGAAGCGAAAATCTCTACGACAACTGCCACTGGAGCAACAACAGCATCTCAGATAACACCTCTAGAAATAACATCACGCACAGTTCCAGTTACAACTTCTCACACAACAGCTGCATCTCCAGCAATGACTACATCTCAAACTGGAAATCCACCACAAACCACCACTGCAGCATTCACGGCTTCTACAACTGCAGCAACTACAGGCCCAACCATAGCTTCAACTCAAAGTACAGTTACTTCACCTGCAACAGGAGCAACAACATCAGCAGCAATGAGGACAACAGAAACTGCAACAACTCTTTCAGCAACCACAGCTTTAACACCATTATCTGGTGCAACATTTGGTCCCACCTCAACTGCAGGTTCGACAACCGAAAAACAAACAAAAGCTACGACCTCTTCTGTTTCAACAGGAACACCACCAACTGTAACGACAACTTCATCTGTACTCGAATCTTCTACTCTAGCTACCGCATCAACAGCATTCATAGCAACAACAACTGCTTCATCTAACCCATCTGCTCAAAGCACAACTTCGGGTCCTTTACTAACAGTACCTGAAACCACGAGTGCTGCACTCGTCACTGTTACTCCCACAAATTCTGCATCAACAACTGAAGCATCTACAAATTCAGAACCACCAAATTCAGCATCTACCACAACAGTTCCAAATGCATCAGTGCTTCCCACTTCATCTGCAGTTCCTGGCACAGCAACATCACCAACTACAACTTCTGTATCAGGAACGGGTGTTATATCAACTGCAGCTTTAACAAGGACAACCACAGCACCGTCGTCTTATCTCCTATCAGGTATTGCTCCATCAACAACTGCAGCAGTAACTGCTACAACAGCTTCAGGCACATCTAAAACTACAGCACCACCTGCTACTTCCCTGACAACTGGAGCTCTATCACCTACAGAATCAACGACGTCACGAAGCCCTACTTTATCTTCAGCTACCACTGCAGCGAAAATCTCTACGACAACTGCTACTGGAGCAACAACAGCATCTCAGATAGCACCTCTAGAAATAACATCAAGCACAGTTCCAGTTACAACTACTTCTCACACAACAGCTGCATCTCCAGCAACGACTACATCTCAAACTGGAAATACACCACAAACCACCACTGCAGCATTCACGGCTTCTACAACTGCAGCAACTAGAGGCCCAACCATGGCCTCAACTCAAAGTACAGTTACTTCACCTGCAACAGGAGCAACAACATCAGCAGCAATGAGGACAACAGAAACTGCAACAACTCTATCAGCAACCACAGCCGTAACACCATTATCCGGTGCAACATTTGGTCCCACCTCAACTGCAGGTTCGACAACCGAAAAACAAACAAAAGCTACGACCTCTTCTGTGTCAGCAGGAACACCACCAACTGTGATGACAACTTTATCTGTATTCGTATCTTCTACTCTAGCTACCGCATCAACAGCATTCATAGCAACAACAACCGCTTCATCTAACCCATCTGCTCCAAGCACAACTTCGGGTCCTTTACCAACAATAGCTGAAACCACGAGTGCTGCATTCGTAACTGTTACTCCCACAAATTCTGCATCAACAACTGAAGCATTTACAAATTCAGAACCACCAAATTCAGCATCTACCACAACAGTTCCAAATAGATCGGTGCTGCCTACTACATCGGCAGTTCCTGGCACAGCAACATCACCAACTACAACTTCTGTATCAGCAACGGGTGTTATATCAACTGCAACTTTAACAAGGACAACCACAGCACCGTCGTCTTCTCTCCTATCAGGTACTGCTTCATCAACAACTGCAGCAGTAACTGCTACAACAGCTTCAGGCACATCTAAAACTACAGCACCACCTGCTACTTCCCTGACAACTGGAGCTCTATCACCTACAGAATCAACGACGTCACGAAGCCCTACTTTATCTCCAGCTACCACTGGAGCGAAAATCTCTACGACAACTGCCACTGGAGCAACAACAGCATCTCAGATAACACCTCTAGAAATAACATCACGCACAGTTCCAGTTACAACTTCTCACACAACAGCTGCATCTCCAGCAATGACTACATCTCAAACTGGAAATCCACCACAAACCACCACTGCAGCATTCACGGCTTCTACAACTGCAGCAACTACAGGCCCAACCATAGCTTCAACTCAAAGTACAGTTACTTCACCTGCAACAGGAGCAACAACATCAGCAGCAATGAGGACAACAGAAACTGCAACAACTCTTTCAGCAACCACAGCTTTAACACCATTATCTGGTGCAACATTTGGTCCCACCTCAACTGCAGGTTCGACAACCGAAAAACAAACAAAAGCTACGACCTCTTCTGTTTCAACAGGAACACCACCAACTGTAACGACAACTTCATCTGTACTCGAATCTTCTACTCTAGCTACCGCATCAACAGCATTCATAGCAACAACAACTGCTTCATCTAACCCATCTGCTCAAAGCACAACTTCGGGTCCTTTACCAACAGTACCTGAAACCACGAGTGCTGCACTCGTCATTGTTACTCCCACAAATTCTGCATCAACAACTGAAGCATCTACAAATTCAGAACCACCAAATTCAGCATCTACCACAACAGTTCCAAATGCATCAGTGCTTCCCACTTCATCTGCAGTTCCTGGCACAGCAACATCACCAACTACAACTTCTGTATCAGGAACGGGTGTTATATCAACTGCAGCTTTAACAAGGACAACCACAGCACCGTCGTCTTATCTCCTATCAGGTATTGCTCCATCAACAACTGCAGCAGTAACTGCTACAACAGCTTCAGGCACATCTAAAACTACAGCACCACCTGCTACTTCCCTGACAACTGGAGCTCTATCACCTACAGAATCAACGACGTCACGAAGCCCTACTTTATCTTCAGCTACCACTGCAGCGAAAATCTCTACGACAACTGCTACTGGAGCAACAACAGCATCTCAGATAGCACCTCTAGAAATAACATCAAGCACAGTTCCAGTTACAACTACTTCTCACACAACAGCTGCATCTCCAGCAACGACTACATCTCAAACTGGAAATACACCACAAACCACCACTGCAGCATTCACGGCTTCTACAACTGCAGCAACTAGAGGCCCAACCATGGCCTCAACTCAAAGTACAGTTACTTCACCTGCAACAGGAGCAACAACATCAGCAGCAATGAGGACAACAGAAACTGCAACAACTCTATCAGCAACCACAGCCGTAACACCATTATCCGGTGCAACATTTGGTCCCACCTCAACTGCAGGTTCGACAACCGAAAAACAAACAAAAGCTACGACCTCTTCTGTGTCAGCAGGAACACCACCAACTGTGATGACAACTTTATCTGTATTCGTATCTTCTACTCTAGCTACCGCATCAACAGCATTCATAGCAACAACAACCGCTTCATCTAACCCATCTGCTCCAAGCACAACTTCGGGTCCTTTACCAACAATAGCTGAAACCACGAGTGCTGCATTCGTAACTGTTACTCCCACAAATTCTGCATCAACAACTGAAGCATTTACAAATTCAGAACCACCAAATTCAGCATCTACCACAACAGTTCCAAATAGATCGGTGCTGCCTACTACATCGGCAGTTCCTGGCACAGCAACATCACCAACTACAACTTCTGTATCAGCAACGGGTGTTATATCAACTGCAACTTTAACAAGGACAACCACAGCACCGTCGTCTTCTCTCCTATCAGGTACTGCTTCATCAACAACTGCAGCAGTAACTGCTACAACAGCTTCAGGCACATCTAAAACTACAGCACCACCTGCTACTTCCCTGACAACTGGAGCTCTATCACCTACAGAATCAACGACGTCACGAAGCCCTACTTTATCTCCAGCTACCACTGGAGCGAAAATCTCTACGACAACTGCCACTGGAGCAACAACAGCATCTCAGATAACACCTCTAGAAATAACATCACGCACAGTTCCAGTTACAACTTCTCACACAACAGCTGCATCTCCAGCAATGACTACATCTCAAACTGGAAATCCACCACAAACCACCACTGCAGCATTCACGGCTTCTACAACTGCAGCAACTACAGGCCCAACCATAGCTTCAACTCAAAGTACAGTTACTTCACCTGCAACAGGAGCAACAACATCAGCAGCAATGAGGACAACAGAAACTGCAACAACTCTTTCAGCAACCACAGCTTTAACACCATTATCTGGTGCAACATTTGGTCCCACCTCAACTGCAGGTTCGACAACCGAAAAACAAACAAAAGCTACGACCTCTTCTGTTTCAACAGGAACACCACCAACTGTAACGACAACTTCATCTGTACTCGAATCTTCTACTCTAGCTACCGCATCAACAGCATTCATAGCAACAACAACTGCTTCATCTAACCCATCTGCTCAAAGCACAACTTCGGGTCCTTTACCAACAGTACCTGAAACCACGAGTGCTGCACTCGTCACTGTTACTCCCACAAATTCTGCATCAACAACTGAAGCATCTACAAATTCAGAACCACCAAATTCAGCATCTACCACAACAGTTCCAAATGCATCAGTGCTTCCCACTTCATCTGCAGTTCCTGGCACAGCAACATCACCAACTACAACTTCTGTATCAGGAACGGGTGTTATATCAACTGCAGCTTTAACAAGGACAACCACAGCACCGTCGTCTTCTCTCCTATCAGGTATTGCTCCATCAACAACTGCAGCAGTAACTGCTACAACAGCTTCAGGCACATCTAAAACTACAGCACCACCTGCTACTTCCCTGACAACTGGAGCTCTATCACCTACAGAATCAACGACGTCACGAAGCCCTACTTTATCTTCAGCTACCACTGCAGCGAAAATCTCTACGACAACTGCTACTGGAGCAACAACAGCATCTCAGATAGCACCTCTAGAAATAACATCAAGCACAGTTCCAGTTACAACTACTTCTCACACAACAGCTGCATCTCCAGCAACGACTACATCTCAAACTGGAAATACACCACAAACCACCACTGCAGCATTCACGGCTTCTACAACTGCAGCAACTAGAGGCCCAACCATGGCCTCAACTCAAAGTACAGTTACTTCACCTGCAACAGGAGCAACAACATCAGCAGCAATGAGGACAACAGAAACTGCAACAACTCTATCAGCAACCACAGCCGTAACACCATTATCCGGTGCAACATTTGGTCCCACCTCAACTGCAGGTTCGACAACCGGAAAAACAAACAAAAGCTACGACCTCTTCTGTGTCAGCAGGAACACCACCAACTGTGATGACAACTTTATCTGTATTCGTATCTTCTACTCTAGCTACCGCATCAACAGCATTCATAGCAACAACAACCGCTTCATCTAACCCATCTGCTCCAAGCACAACTTCGGGTCCTTTACCAACAATAGCTGAAACCACGAGTGCTGCATTCGTAACTGTTACTCCCACAAATTCTGCATCAACAACTGAAGCATTTACAAATTCAGAACCACCAAATTCAGCATCTACCACAACAGTTCCAAATAGATCGGTGCTGCCTACTACATCGGCAGTTCCTGGCACAGCAACATCACCAACTACAACTTCTGTATCAGCAACGGGTGTTATATCAACTGCAACTTTAACAAGGACAACCACAGCACCGTCGTCTTCTCTCCTATCAGGTATTGCTCCATCAACAACTGCAGCCGTAACTGCTACAACAGCTTCAGGCACATCTAAAACTACAGCACCACCTGCTACTTCCCTGACAACTGGGGTTCTATCACCTACAGAATCAACCACGTCACGAAGCCCTACTTTATCTCCAGCTACCACTGCAGCGAAAATCTCTACGACAACTGCCACTGGAGCAACAACAGCATCTCAGATAACACCTCTAGAAATAACATCACGCACAGTTCCAGTTACAACTTCTCACACAACAGCTGCATCTCCAGCAATGACTACATCTCAAACTGGAAATCCACCACAAACCACCACTGCAGCATTCACGGCTTCTACAACTGCAGCAACTACAGGCCCAACCATGGCTTCAACTCAAAGTACAGTTACTTCACCTGCAACAGGAGCAACAACATCAGCAGCAATGAGGACAACAGAAACTGCAACAACTCTATCAGCAACCACAGCCGTAACACCATTATCTGGTGCAACATTTGGTCCCACCTCAACTGCAGGTTCGACAACCGAAAAACAAACAAGAGTTTCGACCTCTTCCGTGTCAACAGGAACACCACCAACCGTAACGACAACTTCATCTGTACTCGTATCTTCTACTCTAGCTACCGCTTCAACAGCATTCATAGCAACAACAACTGCTTCATCTAACCCATCTGCTCCAAGCACAACTTCGGGTCCTTTACCAACAGTACCTGAAACCACGAGTGCTGCACTCGTCACTGTTACTCCCACAAATTCTGCATCAACAACTGAAGCATCTACAAATTCAGAACCACCAAATTCAGCATCTACCACAACAGTTCCAAATGCGTCGGTGCTTCCCACTACATCTGCAGTTCCTGGCACAGCAACATCACCAACTACAACTTCTGTATCAGCAACAGGTGTTGTACCAACTGCAACTTTAACAAGGACAACCACAGCACCGTCGTCTTCTTCCCTATCAGGTACTGCTCCATCAACAACTGCAGCAGTAACTGCTACAACAGCTTCAGGCACATCTAAAACTACAGCACCACCTGCTACTTCCCTGACAACTGTGGCTCTATCACCTATAGAATCAACCACGTCACGAAGCCCTACTTTATCTCCAGCTACCACTGCAGCGAAAATCTCTACGACAACTGTCACTGGAGCAACAACAGCATCTCAGATAACACCTCTAGAAATAACATCAAGCACAGTTCCAGTTACAACTACTTCTCACACAACAGCTGCATCTCCAGCAACGACTACATCTCAAACTGGAAATACACCACAAACCACCACTGCAGCATTCACGGCTTCTACAACTGCAGCAACTACAGGCCCAACCATGGCTTCAACTCAAAGTACAGTTACTTCATCTGCAACAGGAGCAACAACATCAGCAGCAATGAGAACAGAAACTGCAACAACTCTATCAGGACCCACAGCCGTAACACCATTATCCGGTGCAACATTTGGTCCCACCTCAACTGCAGGTTCGACAACCGAAAAACAAACAAAAGCTACGACCTATTCTGTGTCAACAGGAACACCACCAACTGTAACGACAACTTCATCTGTACTCGTATCTTCTACTCTAGCTACCGCATCAACAGCATTCATAGCAACAACAACTGCTTCATCTAACCCATCTGCTCCAAGCACAACCTCAGGTCCTTTACCAACAATAGCTGAAACCACGAGTGCTGCATTCGTAACTGTTACTCCCACAAATTCTGAATCAACAACTGAAGTATTTACAAATTCAGAACCACCAAATTCAGCATCTACCACAACAGTTCCAAATGCATCGGTGCTGCCTACTACATCTGCAGTTCCTGGCACAGCAACATCACCAACTACAACTTCTGTATCAGCAACGGGTGTTATATCAACTGCAACTTTAACAAGGACAACCACAGCACCATCGTCTTCTCTCCTATCAGGTATTGCTCCATCAACAACTGCAGCAGTAACTCCTACAATAGCTTCAGGCACATCTAAAACTACAGCACCACCTGCTACTTCCCTGACAACTGGGGCTCTATCACCTACAGAATCAACGACGTCACGAAGCCCTACTTTATCTCCAGCTACCACTGCAGCGAAAATCTCTACGACAACTGCCACTGGAGCAACAACAGCATCTCAGATAACACCTCTAGAAATAACATCAAGCACAGTTCCAGTTACAACTACTTCTCACACAACAGCTGCATCTCCAGCAACGACTACATCTCAAACTGGAAATACACCACAAACCACCACTGCAGCATTCACGGCTTCTACAACTGCAGCAACTACAGGCCCAACCATGGCTTCAACTCAAAGTACAGTTACTTCACCTGCAACAGGAGCAACAACATCAGCAGCAATGAGGACAACAGAAACTGCAACAACTCTATCAGCAACCACAGCCGTAACACCATTATCCGGTGCAACATTTGGTCCCACCTCAACTGCAGGTTCGATAACCGAAAAACAAACAAAAGCTACGCCCTCTTCTGTTTCAACAGGAACACCACCAACTGTAACGACAACTTCATCTGTACTCGTATCCTCTACTCTAGCTACCGCATCAACAGCATTCATAGCAACAACAACTGCTTCATCTAACCCATCTGCTCCAAGCACAACTTCAGGTCCTTTACCAACAATAGCTGAAACCACGAGTGCTGCATTCGTAACTGTTACTCCCACAAATTCTGAATCAACAACTGAAGTATTTACAAATTCAGAACCACCAAATTCAGCATCTACCACAACAGTTCCAAATGCATCGGTGCTGCCTACTACATCTGCAGTTCCTGGCACAGCAACATCACCAACTACAACTTCTGTATCAGCAACGGGTGTTATATCAACTGCAACTTTAACAAGGACAACCACAGCACCGTCGTTTTCTTCCCTATCAGGTACTGCTCCATCAACAACTGCAGCAGTAACTGCTACAACAGCTTCAGGCACATCTAAAACTATAGCACCACCTGCTACTTCTCTGCCAACTGGGGCTCTATCACCTACAGAATCAACCACGTCACGAAGCCCTACTTTATCTCCAGCTACCACTGCAGCTAAAATCTCTACAACTGCCACTGGAGCAACAACAGCATCTCAGATAACACCTCTAGAAATAACATCAAGCACAGTTCCAGTTACAACTACTTCTCACACAACAGCTGCATCTCCAGCAACAACTACATCTCAAGCTGAAAATCCACCACAAACCACCACTGCAGCATTCACGGCTTCTACAACTGCAGCAACTGCAGGCCCAACCATGGCCTCAACTCAAAGTACAGTTACTTCACCTGCAACAGGAGCAACAACATCAGCAGAAATGAGGACAACAGAAACTGCAACAACTCTATCAGCAACCACAGCCGTAACACCATTATCCGGTGCAACATTTGGTCCCACCTCAACTGCAGGTTCGACAACCGAAAAACAAACAAAAGCTACAACCTCTTCTGTGTCAACAGGAACACCACCAACTGTAACGACAACTTCATCTGTACTCGTATCTTCTACTCTAGCTACCGCATCAACAGCATTCATAGCAACAACAACTGCTTCATCTAACCCATCTGCTCCAAGCACAACTTCAGGTCCTTTACCAACAATAGCTGAAACCACGAGTGCTGCATTCGTAACTGTTACTCCCACAAATTCTGAATCAACAACTGAAGTATTTACAAATTCAGAACCACCAAATTCAGCATCTACCACAACAGTTCCAAATGCATCGGTGCTGCCTACTACATCTGCAGTTCCTGGCACAGCAACATCACCAACTACAACTTCTGTATCAGCAACGGGTGTTATATCAACTGCAACTTTAACAAGGACAACCACAGCACCGTCGTATTCTTCCCTATCAGGTACTGCTTCATCAACAACTGCAGCAGTAACTGCTACAACAGCTTCAGGCACATCTAAAACTACAGCACCACCTGCTACTTCCCTGACAACTGGGGCTCTATCACCTACAGAATCAACCACGTCACGAAGCCCTACTTTATCTCCAGCTACCACTGCAGCTAAAATCTCTACAACTGCCACTGGAGCAACAACAGCATCTCAGATAACACCTCTAGAAATAACATCAAGCACAGTTCCAGTTACAACTACTTCTCACGCAACAGCTGCATCTCCAGCAACGACTACATCTCAAGCTGAAAATCCACCACAAACCACCACTGCAGCATTCACGGCTTCTACAACTGCAGCAACTGCAGGCCCAACCATGGCTTCAACTCAAAGTACAGTTACTTCACCTGCAACAGGAGCAACAACATCAGCAGCAATGAGGACAACAGAAACTGCAACAACTCTTTCAGCAACCACAGCCGTAACACCATTATCCGGTGCAACATTTGGTCCCACCTCAACTGCAGGTTCGACAACCGAAAAACAAACAAGAGTTTCGACCTCTTCCGTGTCAACAGGAACACCACCAACTGTAACGACAGCTTCATCTGTACTCGTATCTTCTACTCTAGCTACCGCTTCAACAGCATTCATAGCAACAACAACTGCTTCATCGAACCCATCTGCTCCAAGCACAACTTCAGGTCCTTTACCAACAGTAGCTGAAACCACGAGTGCTGCACTCGTCACTGTTACTCCCACAAATTCTGCATCAACAACTGAAGCATCTACAAATTCAGAACCACCAAGTTCAGCATCTACCACAACAGTTCCAAATGCGTCGGTGTTGCTTACTACATCTGCTGTTCCTGGCACAGCAACCTCACCCACCGCAACTGTAGCACCACCAACTACAGTACCATCATATTCCGCTCAATCAAGTACTGCTGCATCAACCACTATCAAGGTACCATTAACGGCAGCTCTGCCAGCATCAACAAATGGCATGTCAACAATATCTACAATCGTCCCTACATCCGCATCGACACTCGGGATTGGAACCACTACGATACCAGCACCTACTTTTGAAGGTTAGAATTTTTATAACTTTGGAATGTAAAGTGTGATGGTGGCTGATTGTGTTTTCATCGTGCATTGCTTTACTGTTTCAATACGTTACCACTTTAAAACATATCATTCGATGAAATTCCTGAACAGATATTTATATTAGTAATTTACTCACCAATTTTAACACGTGCAACTGTAATTTTGATAAATAGTTACAATCTTTAATGCTAACTTATCGGGTAAGCAATGACTACAACCTCACATTATACCAACAATATTACTGAGCTATTGTACACATCTTGGTCTTACAAACCCGAAAACCTGTCTCAGTGAGAATCGTTCAAATGCCCGTTATTCTTTACAAAGTTGACTAATTTTACATGTATTTTTTTTTCAACCATAAAACTTCATAGTGTAGTTGAGCAGTCGACTTGACAAAAAGACTCATCGTGGGCCCCAAGGATCACAAGACAGCTCCTTTCCTATGCTCTGTTTTTAATGTTATGCAAGCTTTGTATACAACTTAATAGACATATTATACATTAAAGTTAAATATCATACACAATAAAATATTTTTTAATGCTCAATATGCAGCTGATTTAGAGTTCTGTATTCAATATATATTGTATTGTGTTTAAGTTGACTGCTGGCAGCCGAAACATACTGATGATAAACAGAGGAGGCAGAGAGAACTGCTATGTTGATACATTTGTAGTGACATCGGGGATGTCACTGTATGGTGCCGGCCCGGAAGGGCCGTGCCGTTCGATGTTCCTACATTGTAGACAGCACCGTGTGGGTGGCTGTGTGTAATACCAGCCCTACCAGGGCTTGGTGAGCACTGGGATAGTGCGGGCACCACGCACAGCATGTGGTGGGGGCTACCACGAGGGGGAGTGGGTGAGCGTGAGCCCAGGGGCAGGGTTGTCCCGGGCCATGGCACTCTTGTTGACCCCGTAGACACGTGATCCGGAGTGTCCACACAAGGGGCCCCAGGTAGGGGGGGGGGGAGCTAGGGGGTGATCACGTGTCCGGGGAGAGCTCTTGAGAAGGATCGAGAGGGAACGAGAATGCTCGAGAAGGTGGGCAGGGCCGAGGGCGGAGCGGCCCAGACTGTAAACGGATATAAGGCGGGTCCCTGGGGGGGACCGGGGTCACTGCATTCTACAAGCTGGAAGCTCAACATCTAGAAGCAGGAAGCTCTACGTCTCAAGCTGAAGCCCTTCATCCTACGAGGCAACCTTGTGGTCGGAGACCCGAGTGAGGGTCCGACCCTTCGTAGCAGTAACTCCTCTGTATAGGGTAGTTAGCTGGGGGGTCCCTACCCTAAGCTGTATCTGGTAAAGGGGCAGTTACCCCTTTGTGTTACGGTGTCACAATAAATGTGTTGCCTCTAAAAGGAACAACATCTGTGACTCAGTTGAATTCCCTACAACTGGTGTCGGAAGTGGGCAACACGCTAGTTATTCAACTAGCTGAAGACTATGTCTACATGTCACAGACCAAGTATTTGGACGTCGGACGACGAGGATGAGGACTTCGTGCAGCTTACAGCTCCGGAGGATGCGGGGGAGAAACTGCCAACTGAGCCAGGCGCTATCCAAGCGCTCGATGCTTCACCGTTAGCGGTGGCGACCCTCCGGGAGGCGCACAAGCGTCTCGCGGAGCTCCTCCACACGGCGACTTCGCTCCTTGTGGAGTTTAGCCTCGCGGTCTCGCCGGCGATGGAATGAGCGGCGATATCGCTCGTGGTTGGCGACTCTGCCGCCATTCCACGACAGGCGGGAAACTCGGTGATGCAGCCCGCGCGATCGGGCGCCAAAATTGAAGACGCGCTGTTGGCGCCGAGGGACAGCCTGGCTCTCAATGTCGGCTTCCCTTTGTTGAAGGCTTCATGGCTACCAAGGGCGACTGGGTGGCCTTCAAGCGGCGGATCCTCGCAAACGCCTGCTTGGCAGGGTGGTCGGAGAAGGAGGCGCTGTGGGCGGTACCTGCCACCCTTGACGAAGGCGCCTTTGCAGTGTTTCTAGCCATCCTGCTGCTGGAGAAATCCACCCTTACGCAGGCCTTCGACCAGCTGCCGTCCATCTACGAGCCTCCGGCGGACACGTACCACAAAGTCGCCAAGTGCGTCCGAGCCCAGCAACTTTTGCATCAGGACAGGGCGCTGGGGACTTGTCCAGCACAGAGCCGGGGCCACCGCATGGAGCAGGGCCCCTTACGGAAGGCGCGTCGACTCGGAGTGGTGGCGAATGGGGTGACAGTGGCACGAGGCGAACGGACAAGCAGGGGCGGTAGAGGTCGTCTTCTCGTTCCAGAGGCGGCCGTTGTTACCTGCTATCAGTGCGGCCTGTTAGGCCATGTGGCTTCGGGCTGCCGCGTCCCACATCGGTGCCTTCCGGCATCACCGCCATCCTGCTCTTCTCTACACCCTGAGGCAAGTCGCAATGCACTCCACACTCGATCCCTGGCCTCACTTCACCCATCTAGGCAATTTGGTTTGCGACCTGATCATGTGTCGGTACGGGAAAGTCCTACGCGTAATCATCAGGTGTGTCAGCTCCGACCGGGTCAGTGGTCGGAGTTGGCCCATCGAGTGGTGGCTACGACCGAGGGTTCATCTACGGTGCTTGGGTCTATCGAGGGTGTGGGATTAAGGATGCTGATTGACACAGGTGCATCGGAAACTATCATTTCGGGCCTCATTTTTTACATTCTGCCCCCTAAGTGTCGGATTCTTGACCTTGTCGATGCGCCGTGTTTCGCTGCTGACGGCAGCTCATTGGGTATCATCGGTCAGATCATGGCCGAGGTACGCATCGCTGATGTTAGCTTGTCGGGACACATTTTTGTCTCCACGTCCCTGACTGTTCCATGTTTACTTGGAACCGATTTCCTTGGTAGGATGCCATTAGAAATCTGCATTGACCGCGGCTGTTTGGAATTGCCATCCAGACGCCGTGTGCCATTTTTTCCTTCCCCTACCCGGTTGTGTGCAGCTAACGCTACAGTCCAGGTGTCCGCGCGCCGAACGGGGGAAATCCCGCCCGGCGCGCGAATGCCTGTTCACGTCCGTTTGAGGGAGCCGCTCGATTTGGGTACTGCAGGGTACGGAGCTACAGCTCAGACGTTGGTGTCCGATGACCAGGAACCTTGTGTTCAGGTTCTAAATGCTGGGTCGGACACCACGGTCATTCAGGAGGGTACGGAATTGGCTCATGCAGCTCCGGCATGTCCGGTAGGGGGCGTTGTCGGGAATGCAGGTGCTGAGCCTTGCACGCGACAATCCCGGGATGTGGTTAATTGCTGTGCTGTCCGCCCCTCTTGCCTTGACCCAGTTATTGCCCCGCGCGAATTCATCTCATCTCCATATCGCTGGGGTCGAGTGTCGAGTGTGTCCGGCAACCCAGGGTGGGTGGCCGCTTCGGTTGCTCCCGGGTGAGGTGATTCTGTTCCACCCCAGGCCACGCATGCCGGTTTTGCGGGCTTTGAGAGCGGTGGATCCGTTGGCCCGGCCCATTGCTATTCATGAGGAGCCGGGTTCAGCAGAACATTAGTACATTCCCTACGGGTCCTCCAGGATGATGAGCGAGTCCACCTCCCCTGTCGGGGCCCGGCATCAAGGACTCGCTCTAAGACTCGTTTTCGTAAATCCTCTGGCACACACGCTCCCACGCTGTTGCTTGCTTGTCATGCTCGCTGAGTCATGGCGGTCATTGGCTGAACCTGGCCGCCATTGAATCTCATGAGTGTTGTTACACAGTGAAGGTGGGGGGTGCGATGGTATGGGGGATCCTGTGGGTTACGCGTTTTTTTATATATTATTGTTGGAATGGTGTTGTTTTCATGATTCCCTTTCACAGCTCCCACGCTGTTGGTTACTTGTCGTGCTCGCTGAGCCACGGCGGTTATTGGTTGATCCTTGCCGCCATTGCGCTCGCGTCCGTCGTTACACGATGAAGGTGGGAAGTGTGATGGTAATGGGGGATCCCGTGGGTTACACGGTTCTTTTATATTGTTTTTGAGATGTCGTGGTTATTATTTGTTCGTTGGTTGCCACCCTTCTCCCTGTTGGTTTGTACATTTTTATATACTGTAATTTTTATACAGGTGGGTTGGGGTATTTATTTCTGTTCTTGTTATTGTTGAGGCACAGTGTTTATTTTTTTCTCGTTGAATTTCCCTTATTGTTCGTTTAAAGGGGGAGTTGATAGCCGGGACGGCTGGATGCTACAAATGGGGGGGGAAGGGGGGGGGATGATGTAGTGACATCAGGGATGTCATTGTATGGTGCCGGCCCGGAAGGGCCGTGCCGTTCGATGTTCCTACATCGTGGACAGCGCCGTGTGGGTGGCTGTGTGTGACACCAGCCCTAGCGGGGACAGCACCGTGTGGGTGGCTGTAATACCGGCCCTAGCGGGGCTTGGTGAGCACTGGGATAGTGCGGGCACCACACACAGTGTGTGGTGGGGGCTCCCACGAAGGGGAGTGGGTGAGAGTCAGCCCAGGGGCAGGGTTTCCCCGGGCCATGGCACTCTGGTTGACCCCGTAGACACCTGATCCAGAGTGTCCACACAAGGGGCTCCAGGTTGGAGGGCTAGTGGGTCATCACGTGTCTGGGGAGAGCTCTTGAGAAGGATCGAGAGGGAACGATAATGCTCGAGAAGGCGGGCGGGACCAAGGGCGAAGCGGCCCCGACCATAAGGGGATAAAAGGCGGATCCCTGGGAGGGACCGGGGTCGCTGCATTCTACAAGATGGAAGCTCAACATCTAGAAGCAGGAAGCTCTACGTCTCAAGCTGAAGCTCTTCGTCCTACGAGGCAACCACGTGGTCGGAGACACGAGTGAGGGTCCGACCCTTCGTAGCAGTAACTCCTCTGTATAGGGTAGTTAGCTGGGGGGTCCCCACCCTAAGCTGTATCTGGTAAATGGGTAGTTATCCCTTTGTGTTATAGTGTTACAATAAATGTGTTGCCTCTAAAAGGACAGTTGGACTCACTACAAATTAAAAAGGACGGAGAATCAAACCCCTTCCACGCAATTACTGCCACCCTGAGAGTATCAAGTGCATTACAAATTTGTTGGACATGAGAGGTTTACCTTTTCTGTTTGCTTTCTCAGCTCCAGAGGCAGCTTCCACAGCAGATGGTAGTCGGAGTTGTTGTCAAGCAGCTTGATAAATCGTTTTATAGGTTGCGTGTCGCTATATCATTTGTCCATTCACAAGGCCACTCACCAAGATTGTTTAAGATGTAGCTCGTTTTAATTGGTTCATTATTTATTGGGTTTCTAGTAAGTAGAAGAAATAAACCCAGCTTATTCGAACGGCACCAGTAGTGAGATACCTCTGGTGTTTACTTTTTTACGCACTTTCTTTGCAGTAGCATCCTAATTATAACTTATAGGATAGAATCTATCATATGTAGCTTATAACCTCTTACAGTTAATTTTTTTATTTACATGTTTTATTAACTTCAGAAACCCAAAAAATTATCGTAACAGTTTGCACGTGTTATAACGAAATCAGAACAGAACTCCAAATGGAGGTGAGTTAAGGACACGTGGGTTCATCACCCTACCACAGTGATGACAACGATGGGGAGCAGCAGATTCACGGGGAAGGGAATAGGCCTCGGCAAGGTAAAGTAAAAGGTAAAAACAACGAGCCTACCTTTACCCTTACCCCATACACATGAAAAAGGTTTATAACAGGTAAATGCTAGGTAGAGCGCTTTATTCATATAGCATACTCTCGATGATTCCAATTTTACATGCTTTCTTTTAACTCACTCTGTTGTCGTTGTTGTATCCTCAATTATTGTAACTCAATTTTAACCCACTTACCAATGTGGTATCGACTGCAAAATTGGTATACTTATGTCATACTGATGACAATACTATATTCTATCATAAAAAATAAAATTAAATATTTTTAAAATTCTTTTTTATATGTTATGTTTCGGCTTGGGTCTAATTGTCCACGCTCAACTAACGTTGGCTGTAAATCACCACGGCCCCTGACGCTATGGCAAGCCTCGGGACCACTTCCTGGAGTCGTGCAGTTTTGCCATTACGAGTAGAGTAGGGTACACTTCATCTTCTTGGTTCATTAAAGCGTTTTTTTTTTAATTATTTTTAGATATTACTTATTTCTTTTCTTGTTTCATTTTGTGTAATGGCAGAGATTAGGGATTAATAATGTACAACCATAACCACAATCATATTTTTAAAAAATATATTGTATAGCAATATATTGGAGGGGGACATTTTGAGAATATTTGAATATTGGGCGGGATGTGGCCCCCCAAATATTGTATCCCCCCCCAAAAAATATTATAATTACGGCCTTGCTATACTACAACACCTCCACACCACATCACTACCACCATTTCACTACACAACTTAACACTACTACATCACTAAACTACACCCTCAACTACACGAAGCTGTACTACACAACACCACTATATGAGCCCACTGTTTTGCGCCCCTAACTTGGCAAGGAGTAGTGGGAAAAACACCGTTTGTTTGCTTTCACATAGAGAACAGGCTTTCGAAGTATGCCAAACTTGTACAAAAATGTGGATTTGTATAAGGTTTGTTCAAAGTGGTGTATACAGACAATGGATTTTGGTGTACATGAGTAGCAAATAAGAGACAATTTTCATTTTCATACTCTTCTCACAATCCTTTATTCAGAGCACTACAAGTAATCAGCTTTTTTATTTAATA